GGATATAGCACACCAATTTCATAATGTTGGACCTAAGCAGAAAAGCATATTAACTTCTCAACATTTTAAATCACTAAAAGAATTACGAACAAACAAGGATATTGTCTTGTTGAAGCCTGATAAAGGATCAGGCGTGGTTATTATGAACAAATGTGAATATAAGGGTAAGATGTTATCCATCCTCAGTGATGAATGTAAATTCATGCCTGATGTTGAATTTGGAGGTATTAACAAACTAGAGGGAAGAGTAAATGCAAACCTAGAAAAATTGCTTCACATGAATATTATCGATAAAGAGGAATTTAATCTCTTAAAACCTATGGGTTCAGAGTATCCTCATTTATATGGACTACCTAAAATTCACAAATCAAATATTCCTTTACGTCCAATTTTATCAATGTGCCGATCACCCACACATAACCTAGCCAAATGGCTAACAAAATTATTGGATCCTATTCGAAGACGTATATGTAAGTATTCTCTAAAGGATTCTTTTGAATTGGTCGATCATTTAGGTGACATTAATATCAAAGGAAAACCTATGTGCTCATTTGATGTGAATTCCTTATTCACCAATGTACCTTTAAAAAAGACTATTGACATATTATGTGACTATATATCTTCAAACAACTTTAATTTACCTATCCCCTTAAAATTTCTTAAAGATTTATTACTTTTATGTACTGATAAAGTTCAGTTCACTTTTGAAGGCGAATACTTTCGCCAGATTGATGGGGTCGCTATGGGTAGTCCGTTAGGACCATTACTAGCAGATGTGTTTATGGCACATGTAGAAAATTTATCTAAAGACTTAATCAAAAACATGTCACTTTATAAGAGATATGTAGATGATATCTTAGTAATTGGTGAAAGAAAGGAGGATATAAACTGCCTATTGAATAAATTTAATACTATCCAAAACCATATCAGTCTTTCATGTGAAGAGGAGAAGAATGACCAGCTTCCCTTCTTAGATGTACTTCTAAACAGACGAGAAGATGGCTCAATAAAACGATCCATTTTTCGAAAACCGACGTGGACGGGTCAATATCTTAGTTACTATAGTTATTGCCCTGTACAATACAAATGTGGTTTGGTAAAGTGCCTTTTTAACAGGCTTCGTCGTATTTGCACAAATGACGCTATTGATGACGATGTTAGGTTGTTAACCAAGACATTAATTGGGAATGGCTATCCACCTAAATTTATCAATAGATGGAAAATTCAGAGCACAGCGAGACCTACTGTAGCCTTGGTAGAGAAAAAGCCTGTCTACATCACCTTACCATTTAGAGGTGATTCAAATAGCCTTTTATTGAAACAAAGGCTTAAATCTGTTATCAACAAAACGTATTGTGCTGCGAAAGTCATAATCAAGGAAAGAACGAGGTCCATGCTTCATTCAAAACCTAGACGAAATGAAAACGATTGTGTCACATCCCACTGTGTTTACCAATTTAAATGTGTGTGTGGTCACACATACATAGGGAGGAGCAATCGTGATCTGAAAATTAGGGTGGGTGAACATGTACCAAAATGGTTGCAAAAACAAATACAGTCGAATGACCCAATAAGAGTAGAGGATAAACATCCATCATCCTCTATTGCTAAACATATAATCGAAACAGGTCATAAGATTGATCTAAACTCGGCTTTTGTGGTGTTGTTTAAAAGTGTAAAAGGGCGTATACTAAGGTTTGTTGAAGCCTTGCCATACGAAAATTCAACCCCCCTTTGTGTATTCAAAAACAGTTTGTTCTCTCTTTAAACCTACCCTGGTAATAAATGCTTATTATCCAGAGTGATTAGGTGTCAAGTTGTTTTCACATTATTTTATCATTATATCCTTGTCTATTTCTTAACCTTATTACCAGTCTAGTTGACCTTTTATTTTTATATATAAATGTTCTTAACAAGTATATGTGTGATCAGATTGTTCGAAATGTATTGCGCTAATATATCACATAGTTCTGATAATCTTCGTCTTCTCATTGCATTATCGAAACAAAGTAATCATTAACTTAAAAATTTTTTATCAGAGACAGTAACCTAGTATTAATCAAATTAAATTAAATAGTATGATTTCAATAAAGAGTCAATTAGGTTTGAATACATCTAACCTATATTGAATGTATACCTTACTAATTGTATTAACATTTAAAATTAAAAAAAACAAACAAAGAACTATTTCTCTTTGTCAGTGACTTATGATTTACATTTTAAGTAACTTATATATTCTATGAGTTAGAATAATGGTTTCTTTTGAGTTGTCTACTGTATAAATAATTTTCATCATGGATATATATATATATTTGCATAAGGACCATTGAAAAGATGTGGATAGTTAAGCTTTTCAATGCAAAAGTCTAAAACTTGTCAATATTAGTGTTATATCTAAAGCTTTGTTTCTTACTATGCCACGTACTATTAGACTACTTGAACGATCGAACCCCAAACGTCGCAAGAGACAAGACAGAAGACGAAGAAGAAACTATACTAAACAATCAACATTATTTTTTAATGGTAAATTACCAATGAAAATTAGAATTTACAAACGATATGTTTATAACAGCAAAGATTGATAGTGGCTAGCAGTGGAATCCAGTTTGACACGCGTTTCTTCCTAGGACGAAACACGCGTCAAACTGGATTCCACTGTTAGCCACTATTCATCTTTGCTTATAATGCTTGTGAATTTAGGCTATATCGAGGCAATAAGCACAGTATGTACATATGCCAATTAGAGACTGACCAGTTTCAGTCCTAAACATCAATGGGAAGATTCAAACAAACAATACTAAGTGAATTTATATGTTTATATGATTTACACTTTATTAAAACCATAAATTTGAATGTAGTTTAATCAACTCTTCAGTATAGTACTTTATAGGATCATAGTTAGATAATACCATAAGTCAAAGGGGATCATATCATTATTATCCTCTAGAAAATTAGTCAATTTCATAATGAAGAAAAATAATCAATAAATAATATACAATTAAAAAGTCTAAAAATATGATAAAATAATGATAAACAGGTAAAATTTAGTTACTATGTAATCCTTGTCAGAAATCTAGAAATTAGAATTTTTTTTTTAAATTAAGGAAAAGTGGTTTAGATCAAAAGAAATTCATTTATTTTACTAATTCTCTTTAATTGCTTATAAAGTATAAACAATGGTAGTTTTCATTTTTTTTTTTAAAACCAACAAAAGAATTATACATATTTTAAATCAAAATAAACTTAATTAAGGTTGGACTTAATAAGTAAATGTAGAATAATATAAGACAATCATTATGCCCCCAAATGCCCTGGTACGGCTGAGAGTGGGGAGAGTTCGCTCGCCATCTCCAAATGCTCTTATATGACCACACGTTTAAAGCCTCTGCCAGGGAAGTCCTAGTCACTGCCTTCTCGCAGCCGAGCTGTTGTTCACAAAATTGAGAGGACGAAAAGCAAATGTCCGACGTTTTAACCGGGTTGGTGGACACGGAAAATCCACCTAGGGGAGTTGGAAAACCCTGATTCCAAACCAATGGTTCACATGGGCTCCAGTATCCTGAGGGAACAAATGACGTATGAATCAATTGTTGGTCACCGAATACCATGGGATTGCATCTCCTCACGATGCTCCATTGCCTTGTGGATTAGGCCTTTAGGTCGAAGGCTCTGGGTGTGGCCCCTTAAGTAAACTACCTGTTTCAGTTTGGGTACCTGGGAAATATCACACTTACTTACTTACTTACGCCTGTTACCCCTCGTCGAGGAGCATAGGCCGCTCACCGGCATTCTCCATCCAACTCTGTCCTGAGCCTTCCTTTCCAGTTCTTTCCAGTTAACATTCATCCTTTTCATATCGGCTTCTATTTCCCGGCGTAGTGTGTTCTTTGGCCTTCCACTTTTCCGCTTCCCTTCAGGATTCCAAGTTAGGGATTGAGTCGTGATGCACATTGGTGATTTCCTCAATGTATGTCCGATCCACTTCCAACGTCTTTTCCTAATTTCCTCTTCAGCTGGAAGCTGGTTTGTCCTCTCCCATAAAACGCTGTTGCTGATAGTATCCGGCCAGTGGATGTTGAGTATTTTGCGTAGACAATTGTTTATAAATACTTGTACCTTCCTGATGATGGCCGTAGTAGTTCTCCACGTTTCAGCTCCATACAGTAGGATTGTCTTGACGTTCGTATTAAAGATTCTGACCTTGAAATTGGTTGAGAGTTGTTTTGAGTTCCATATGTGAGAAACCATTACTAGTGGAGCCCAGTCAGTGTTGAGTGTGAAACAGTTATCCACATCAGACAATGGATGAAGGGTTGAGCAAGATCATGCATCGGTTGAAGTTACATATTAACACTGTTGGATGCCTGGTCGGTGGTTGAGAGGTTGAGCGTTTGCGTGTGAGAACGAAGGTCTTAAGTTCGAGCCACGCGTTTGGGGTCGTGGCCTCAGACTGCCGAGGTGCCCAACAATAAGACGAATCATCTGTCCAGTGCTTTCAGGTTTTCAATAGTGGTATAGCTTAGATCGACTCAGGAATTCAATTTTGAAATTACTACAATCTCCACAAATCCCTATACTGATAAAAATTTGATTATTGTTTGACTTCGATAAAATCTTATATAGACAAATATTATGAAGTAGGAATGAAATAAAATATATTCATAAGAAATCACTGATTGTGTTAAGTGACTACAACTTAATATATGTAGGTTTCTGCAATTTGAAAAGTTAACTAATTTCTATCAACCTAACCGGCAGTGTGGTGATCAAGATATTTGATCCGACATGAAAATATGTCTGTATGCTTTAATGAAGCTAATGCATATCGATTTAAGAAGTCTTTCTCTAAACAAACAGAATTCTTATTTTGTTAACGAGAATATCACCAATGTGACACCTGATAAAACTTATCAGAATTTAAAAAAACTTTTTCAGAGTTAAAGGTAATCGGGTTTTTATCTCGTAAATCGGCTTGAAAAAAGATCATAAAACCTACATACTTGGTATTCATAATCTTGCGTCTTCACCTTCCTTCCTCTTCTGGATGAACGAAACGCTACACTTGCTGCACGCGCTGCTGATGCTCTTCTCATTGCACTACTACCACGACGTGGTGCTTTATCATTACCTAAATTATTCAATTCTGTCTTTGAAAATAAATCCATCGGTACATTTCTTTCAACTCGTACAGTATGACATAATGAAAGTAGAAGCAATAGTGTTTGTACACTATTTACCGTAGGTGATTGACTAGAGGAGTCGGTTATTGTTCTTAATTGTACAGCTTCTGAAAATTCATCCAACTCTTCTTGATTCTCTCGACTGACTGGAGTTCTGACAGCTTCTCTGTCCGTACCGTATACACTCAAAGGTGAATCTGTGTAACGAAACAAACCATTATTTTCAAAGTGAAAAACACCCATAGATGTGGCTAGTCGACGAAATTGCATTGAATTCTCTGTTAATGTACCAGTTTTGTCAGTGAAGAGATATTCAACCTGAAAAATATAATTAAAAATCTTCAACGATTTCTGAAAATATTGTGTTCATCAATATTTATGGTGTTACTATAATTAACTTGGCAAGCTTTGGTTTTAATAAATTTTTGGCAATTAGGTTCTATAAAAGAATTTTGTCGGTAAATAAAGCTTATTAACCTCAATTTGTCAGACTCAGATCATTTATGATTTATTTTGATTATTTTCATTAAACATGCCTCTTACTGATAAACAATAGGTTTTGCATCAACGTCATACACAAAAATAGTATACGTCATAGAACAGTTAGAAATCTTTTTCATAAAGAATAATACATAATGAACAAGGTAATTTTCAGCACATTTTCATGAAAAAACTATGAACCAATCTAAGTTAGATCATTATTGAAAACCTGAAAGTACTAGATAGTCGTTTCGTTCTAGTACGGAACTCAGCGGTGCACATCCATGACCCCATACACCGGAATCGATCCTAGAACTTTCAGTATTACACACGAACTCTTGACCTCTAGAACAAAGGTGGCAGAATTTGGATCAGCTCATGATTTTAGTGAAATTTAACTACTTTATACAAACAATTCAACATCTTCCTTAAATTTATTTACTTATCATTAAAACAAAATAATAATTAACAAATTTTAGAATCTTCACTGCATTAAAAATACTTGATACAACACAACAAAATTGGATGAAAATAATATTACCAAATTATCATTGATTGTTTATCTAAACTATCAAATTTGATAGAGTTTTGTTCTTTAAGCTAGATGGTTTGGTCGTGGAACTTCCATCGTCCTTTTGAACGACATCATTACCCAAAGTTTGTTCTGATGATGTCGTTCAGATGGATGATAAAAGCTCCACGACCAAACCATCCAGTTCAGAAAACAAAACTCCATCAAAATCATCTGCCTGAGCTACAAATCTTCTCAAACTTTCAAATACACTTATTAGAGAAATAAACAATTCCTGATGAAGAATTATTGTCAACTGTTATAATTCAAACAAGGTTCAAAATGGATTTAAATTACAAAAAAATTTTTAAATAACTTGAAAAGTAAAGTCTCTCTCTTTTGTGAAGATCACATTAATGACAGTGTTTATTTATAAAATGAAATTATATATCAACTGAAAGCTAATTTCAAAAGTATACAATGGTAATTGTTAGAAATTAATCTGGTTGAACCAAAAGAATACTAAAGAAGAATGTTATTGGTATGGAATGACCATTCTTTGATAATTAAGCAAATAAGAACTTGTATTTTCTTAATTTCTTTTGATGTTATAATATCGAAAATTTTTTGTTGAATTTCATGTCAACTTAATACGTCTCGATTCCGTTTCCAAAGACTGAATTGTAACACATACATGATGTCTAGTACGTATATATGTAAAAACTTTTCCATTTCTCTGAATGATTATTAATTAGATTTTTCGAATTCTGACTAACTACCTAACAGATATCAACCAATGCGGTATGGTTTCATTTGTGTTAATCATTTGATCTAAGTCAACCAACATGATGATATGTTTGGTTCCACTTTAAATGGTTCAATGATAAACTGGTAGATTTTACTTATTTCGTTTTGTTTTTTTATTTACTTGACGGTGTATGTTGTGAACATAGTCTTTAAAATAAATTGAATCTAAACAATTCAGCATCACATTTGGAAGGTTCCCATTTGAGCCAGTGAGAGTATATTGTTGAATAACACATGAGTTTTAGTATTGACCATATTATAGGTTCCTTGAAGGTTGTAAACAAGTCATGTATATCCTGATATAGAAATACTTTGTCAGTAGCATTCAAGAAAAAGTCGTTCTCTCAATTTAAACAAATAATTGTTTAATATCTGAAGGGTTTTTTGTGGATATTATAATAATTTTAATAGTTGAGGTCACGAGTCAATTGAAGCTAGGCCACCATGGAATACCTCGAAGCACTGTACAGCCACCTCATCCTCAACAGTGCGCATCCACGATTCCTTCTCGCGAGATTAGAACTCAAGACCTGTCAGTTTCGGGCGAGAACGCTTAACCTCTGGATCACTGAGCCGGCCAGTATCTAGCGGTGTTAATGTCTAACTTTAACTAATCCACAAAATTGAATGACACATCCATCATTGTCTTCAGTGAGTTAATACCTCATAAAAGGCCTCCTGAGGAGTCCCACAATAGGACGAAATGGCCTTCCAGTGCTTCCAGGTTTTCCACGGTGTTCTAACTTTAATTGACTCATGATCTCAACTATTAAAAATAATTGTTTGTCAATAGAAATGTTGTTGATATTTTAACCATTATCACCTTACTTTTTAGTACACTTCATAATTGATCAGTCATACTTAGAAAGATTAAAAAATTTGAATTGAGTTAGATATCAGCATTATACTAGTAAGGTACTTCAGAGTTCATAATTCAATAGGGTTCATTCATAACCATTCTAATGAAAATATACTAACACCTTATGTTTTGAAAAATTTATAAACTTCTTTTTTGTGCTTACTACACTACAAAATCCATGTAATTTAAATCGTAACAAAATGACCACCAAATAAAAGAGTATTATTAAGAAGGTTCACTAACGATTTCATATATCAAGATAATAGCCAGTGCTATCAAACTACTGTTAACACATGATCCTATTCAAAAGAAGCCCAATCATATAAAATAAAAGTTCATGAATTGTGGCTTATTGAAAGTAGTCTTCATTTCAAGCTAATCACCTATTCTTAATGTAGAAATGATGAAAACATGTCCTAATAGGAAGGAAGATGAAAACAACTTGAATCTTAACAAATTAGCAAATCATGTAATCTTTGATTTTCATACGCTTATTTCTGAAAATTATCATTTACATGAAATGTTGTCTGAAAATATCTAAAATGATAACGAAGCTCCTCTATTAAACCATTTAACTTAATGAACAGAACTCCAGTAAAATTGTCAAAGCATCAAATGAGAATAACCTATAACATGTGATACATGTTAACATTACTCTTATAGCATCCATAAACTCTATATTCTTATGCAAAAACCAATTGTCATTATATTAATCTTAATCTGTTTAGTAGTAATCATAAAAAACTTACATTACTTACTACGGAGAGTTCTCAATTTTACCATTAACATCATGAAAGAATCTCAGTTAAACAATCCCTGAAAACTAGGAAGTGCTGGACAGCTGTTTCACTCTAGTATGGAACTTCTTAACAGTTCATATCCACAAACCCCCTATTAAAGATAGGACCCAGTACTTCCAGTCTTGCACCCGAATACTCAACCACTGAACCAATAATCCGTTATCCAATTCTTAACATTGGCTTGATTCCCAATGACAGAGTCATGGATGTACACTGATGAGGATTCCCATACTATGAAAAAAAAACAGTCATTCAGTACATCCTAAATATTCAATGGTTATTTAGCTAATATCATTCCATGATGTTAACTATAAGATTACACTACTATTTAAATACTTTTTTATTAACCGATCAACAAATAACTTATTTGTTTATTTAAACACACAATTATAAAAACATTAAAAACTAATAATAGATCTACATTTCTTAATCAATATTAATTAAAGATGTTTAGACAAAATAAAATCAATTTATAACGTCTTTTTTGAATAAAAAAGAAAAAAAACCCACCTTAGTTACAAGAAGAAATAAAAAGACAAAAATGTTTCATCATGATTTTTACATTTTCATTGTTGTTAATTACATAATCTATCGATTTTGAGGGTATTATTTTATCCAAATTAGTACAGGGATTGTGAGTTAAGATTTTAGATGAAATTTGATAAAGTTTTTCCATATCAATACAGTATGAGGAATTGCGATGGTTTCAGCTATGTGCAATAGACGAGCTCGTAAACCATATGGTAAATTTGATGGAACATGGTAGATAATCTTAAAAGCGTACAATTCGGCAAGTTCGTCAACGAATAAAAGAACACCATCCGTCGTGGTTGAGCAAAGGACAGGGAAAAGAAGATTAAGAGTTCTATTCTCGCTCACTTGGTGGACACAGGTCATCAAATACAGTATATGTAAGGTGGTTTTCATTCATAGTTAATCAATTGGTTGATTAACAACAACAGATATAAGGGAAAATGACAGTTTGAATAATTCATTTCTCAAGATATTATTATTCTAACTTTTATATCTAACTATGAAGTTTAGGCTTGTTACTTCCAATGGAGCATAGGCCGCCGATCGGCATTCTCCAACCCAATCTGTCCTGGGTCATCATTTCTAGCTCAGTCCAATTTTTGTTCACTCTTCTCATGCCTGTCTCCACATCTCGACGCAATGTGTTCTTTGATGTTCCTCTTTTCCTTTGGCCCTCAGGATTCCATGTGAGGGTTTGTCTTGTGACGCAGTTGGGTGATTTCCTCAATGTGTGTCCTATCCACTACCAGCGCTTCCTCCTGATTTCTGGTTTGTTGTCTCCCACAATAGCTTGTTGCTGATAGTGTCTGGCCAACGGATCCGAAGTATTTTGCGTAGACAACCGCTAATCAACACTTGTATCTTTTGAATGATGGCTTTTGTAGTTCTCCACGTCTCCACCCCATACAGTAGAACTGTCTTGACATTTGCATTGAGAATTCTGATTTTGGTGTTGGTTGACAATTGTTTTGAGTTGCAGATGTTGTTCAGTTGTAAATATGCTGCTCTTGCTTTGCTGATCCGCTCCCTCACATCTGCATCAGATCCACCTTGTTCATCTAACTATGAACAGTTGGGTTATTTTTTTTTGGTTTCTTTTATTCACCTAATATTCAGTTTTCATTTGATCTATGAACTGTAACTATACCTTATTATTTTATTAAATCACTGTAACTTAATCATGAGCTTGTATTATTTTTTAGTCATTGATTATGAGTATAGGTTAAGCTATTCATATATTTATTTATGTTCTCTTTCGCGTTAGAATGATTTAAAATATAGATGTATTTATTACGGTCGTCTAACTTGTTATGTCAACCAATTACTG